GTGCCCAGCCTACTTTTCTTTAATTTTACAATAATAAAAAATTCAATTTATTTTAAAGAACAATTAAAAATGTTGTGTCTAAAAGTTACTGTAACCAATAATTTGATAAGTTTGAGAAAAAAGCCAACTGAACTGAAATCTCAGATGCATTCCCAAAATAATTGGTTAAAACTTTACAAGTATTGATCACATGTTTTTGTAATTTCATCACCCATCAAAAAACACTGACTCTCTCTATCACAACAAAAATGTTTGTTTGTTGGATTATTTTTTAGCAGCTCATAATTTTAAATAACAGCTGTTTTACTAAGAGATAGCTGTCTTAGATACGGGTTTATTGGTTAATCCCATAACATGTATTCCCCGGGGATTACAGCGGACTAATGAGATCCCAACATGTTTTGACAGTCCTCWTCACTGCACGTGCAAACATTTTGTCATGTTAACACGCACAGACAAACACACAAATACATATTCTTTCATTTTACTAGCTGAATTTCTTGTAGCTGAGTGAAATCCTGGGTGGCTCGACTTACATCCCCACACTGAAGTGGGGCAGGGAGCTTTTACAAGCTGCTGTTGCCAGTGACAATTAATGTCAGTGATTTGACGTGTCCTAGCTCCTGGGTGGATGTGTCAGGGGAGGGGAGGTTAGAGGGGATTGTTGCCCAGATCTATAGAGGAGAAGAGGTGATGGTGGTGGTGAGGGGACAGGGTGGGGTGCATGTCTGCTGGCTGAGAAAGCGTGGAGCCACGCCAAGTTCTCCATTAGGGAGCCATGCAAGGTCACTCCTGCATGCAGTCCTTGTGCCAAGTGACCCAAGCTTTTTTGGTGTGTCCTATACTGAGGGGTGGGGGTGGATGGAGCAGAACAACAGATAAAAAGAAAGAGAGAGACAGAAAGAGAAAAGAGAGAGCTGGAAGAAACGTGGGCCACGGTCCAACCCATCTGGGATGCGCTCCACAGACGGCCGGTGCCAGAGGTCATTGACAAAGCCGACCCCATCTTTGTTGAATCTCTGAAGGTTCTCTGCGAGAAAACAAGTTTTAGGAAGGAATAAAAAAAAGGATGCCCACAGACTGTTCTCCATCCTTAATCAGAGCAAAGGTCCACATGAAAACAAGAGTGAGGACTCAGAAAAATACTAATTTTCACGCCACTTACAGGACTTTTTGTGGCACCCTGCCAAGCCAGGAGGTTAGACAATGAGTGTGTCTGGTGGCATTAAACAAAAATAATAATACAAAAAAATAACACAGTAAGACCACACGGTAAGTCTTTGCCCTTGGGAGAAAATAAAACCAAAATGTTTTGTTTTATCCTGTAGACTTCTTGTCAAATTAAGAAGAAAACAACGACCACTTTAGGGAAAAAATTTAAATAAATAAAAAAAAAATATCCGTTGTTTGTGTTTACCACTTTAAAGTTCCTCCTGGATGTCTCTTACACGGCGCAGGTTGTCACGTGAAGAGGCCTGCAAAGTGCAACAAAGCTTTGTTCAGAGAAAACTCGAGCTCATTAGGAGTGTATAAATATGTGTGTGGGAGTGTGTGAATGAATGGATGCGCTGTCTGTGTACTTTGAGGAGGGAGGGGAGGTGGGATTCAGCCTAACATTCAGCKTTGCTGCTCTTCCTTTCAGCAATACTAGCTTTAGAGCTTTTAAATTGTAATGTGATAGGGTTCACCTGCAAAGCTACCACAATGAATTATTAAGCTCTCCACTATGGATGAGTGAGTTTCATTATAGCTCCACTCTACTGAGGGAAGATAAGCATGGCTGATTATTCCTGGGCTCTCTCTTTCCCCTCTTTGCTTTCTGGAGTGCCTGGAAAAAAGGCAGAATTCGTCAGTTCAGCAAGAAGGAGATAAGATTTCGA